TTGCTAGATATGAGAAAATAATTTCAAGTAATTCGGGTAAATCAAAAATATTTAGACCCTTTGGGTCATTGCTCCGCCATTCTCAAATTGTATATTATATATCTTTAATCGAAAAAAACAACTAATGTTCGGATAATTAATTTTAGGCGGATATATTATGCATTATCCAGATATTCTCAATTGCACTTAACCTCATAACTAGTTCCATCGAGCAACGTAAGAGTTTTATTTGGGAATTCCACTGGAACCGATACTAATAGTCTAACTTCGCATTTTCTGCTAACATAGAATCTATTTCTGCGATTTGGACATCAAAAGGATTATAATTCTTAGGCTGAGATTTAGGTTCGGGTTCAGTATCAGGATTGGTATCGGAATCAGAAGAAGTGTCACCCTCAGCATAATAAGTCCCAGAATCAAAACGGTCGATCTTATGCCTCATTGCAATTCTACAAAGTAAACTAAGATGTTGGGCCGTTGGATTTTGACCACCATGAACTCTAGAAGCATGTTTACTCCCTATTTTTCTCAATCTTTTAGCTGTAATACCATAAGGTCTTAGAAAATTATTAAATGGTCTAATACTACGTTTTCCATTAACACTATAGACAGGATCACGTAACTTTCCAATTGCTATTGCATTTTGAATCCAGGTAAGCAATTCTCTTGCACGTTCTGGATTCTTTTCCATAGATAGAAATTGTCGGGGCTCAGGATTAACCTCCTTTTCTCCCTTATTCTTAATAAATCCTGTACAATACCAAGAATAGCCAGGTTTGTACCATTTTAGATAGTCTGATTCTTCGTAATGGATAATGCGAAGAGTGGTAACTTCAGCAGGTCTCATGCTTAACATCATGATTACATCCGCAAGATCTTGCATAGTGGGAATTTTAGTAGTGTCGATATTTTGAATTCTTCTAAGTCCCTCATCTAAGGAGAAGTGCTTAGGAGTTTTAGGCGGATTAGCTAATCTCTGTACAAGTTGTCTTTTCTGAATTTCGTTAGATTCTTCAGTAGTAGTTGGGTTTTTAGCTAATAGAATATTTTTGGGATCGGCTCCAGCTTCTGCCAATTCCTTACGGAATAATGTAAGTCGTGAACTGGATGCGACAATTTCTTCATCACTATCATTTTTTGTCTTGATTAAATCTAAAGCATGTAACCAAATATCATATGGATCTCCAGTTTTCGCACAGTATTGAGCTCTCCCTTTGATAGTAAGTTTTTCATTCCTTTTGTCTGGTACAAGAGCTTCTATTTGATTGCCTTTGAATAGGCGCCGGCGAAGAGCTTCTTTCACATCTTTACGAGCCTTCCAATCTGGTAGCATAGTACCAAGCTCATCGGCATGAGCACGTAATTGAGATGGGTTGGATTTGGCGGACAAGTTATATTTTTCTAGGAACAGGTCCAAAATGGAGGTAAAGCTATTAGTTTTGGGTTTCCTAGTTTTTCGGAAAGTTGCCATGATAGATATATATCGATAAGTAGATTGTGATTGTTACATTAACCTACTTATTTTTTCAAATTGAAATTAATTACCCGCCCCTTCGATAATGCTTCGCGGAGTACACATGCTCTAGATCTTAGGAGATATGACTGCCTTATCCATGGATGAAAAAGTAATAAACCTAGACTATAGGTCGTACCCAAAACCTGGCAAGTCCGGTATATGATTCTCAATCATAGCAATTTGTATACACAATTTATCCTGCTTTTTTTGTTGATAATATTCTCTTTTTCGATACTTGCATGATTCCGGCATGCATCATATTTAGAATAAGTTAGCTTACCACAACCATATTCTTTACAAGGAATCCGTGTAGGAGAATTTCGATGAAGTTTACATCCTTCTGGTTGATTACAACCTCGACCACAGACTTTACCAGTTCTAAGAATATAAGGACAACGATAGAGTCCCATATTTATTGTCAATAATAATGATATAGAATAATTAATTTCATTTTAAAGTTTTTCGGGTTAAGTATAATACTTTTATTTCTGGGTTAAGTATAATACTTTTAATTTACAACCATATACCGTGTATACAAATAAATAAAATGAGTTTATCTAGTGAATCAAAAAAACGTTTATGTGAATCGTTACAACAACAGATGGTATTAGATACTGGGTATCCTGCTTCACAGACTGAAGATTGATTGATTCCCTTGGCATCATCATCGGTTTGCGATTGCTTCTGTTCCAATTTCGCAACCCTGGTTTAAGTTTGATATTCTCAACTGTAAGGTTAGCGGTATCCATTTTATTTTTCCTTTCTAGTGCCTCAAATTTTGATTTAAGACCAGCCTTCTCTTTATCGCTTTGCTCTAGTTTCCTAATTCTAGCTTCATACTCAGCTCCACGCCTTGTGCTTTGTTTTATTATCTCTTTTAGCTTCGCATTCTCAGCCTCAACCTCAGCATACTTCTTTTTAATTTCAGTATTCTCAGCTATAAGCTTGGAAATCTGTTCTAATGAATCATTTTTAGATTGTGTGTTTGCCATTGTTTATATAAGATGCGGATATGTTCAAAGCAAAAGTTTGAATTAATAAAATCACGTGATAGAAAACCGTGAAGAAAATCTTCACGATCGGATTACACATATAAAATACACGAAAAAATCATGTGTGCGTGAATGATTTGTTCACACCGATCACTTTCGCCAAGAAAAAATTATTAATATCGATGGAAATATATAAACACGATTATATATCCACCAAGGCCAGCGATTATAAAAATCGAAAAGAATATTATACGCAAAATACATTATAAAAAAATATAAAAAACGGATTAATCCGGACAATGTACAGGGCATCCTATACATGAATTGTTATTGTTGTTATTGCTATCATTGTTATCGTCATCACCACTGCCATTGTTGTAACTATTATTTTCGAAATTATCATATGATGTTTGTCGTGATGTTTGTCGTGATGATTGTTGTGTTGATGATGATTTATTTTTCCGATGTTTTTTAGTTACACGTTCATAACCGTATTCTTTTTTTCTTTTACTGCGAAGATTATATGTTGGTGGTGGTGTTGTTGTTGTTATTGTTGTTGTTGCTGATGATGATGATATTGTTGTATTATTATTATCATTGTTATTATTGTTACTATTATTATCTTCGCCGACATTGATTATATTACCGCTATTGCCATTATTATCATTATTGTTATTATTATTTTCATCATTATTACCATCACCATTATTGTTATTGTTATTGTTATTGTTGTTGTTGTTATTATCGTTATCGTTATTGTTATCATTATCGGCATTATTACTATTACTACTATTATCATTATCATTAACCTGTTTTCTTTTTTTTCGTTTCATAGAACCACCAACAATGCTATTATTGTTATTATTATTGCTATTATTATCATTGTTATTATTGTTATCATTATTGTTGTTCTCATCATCACCATTATCATTACCAACATCATTATCATTGTTGGCATTGTCGTTATTATTGTTATTGCCATTGTTAATATTATCGACATCATCGTCAAACATTAGACCATCATGTACAGGATCTTCATTAACCGAATCTTCATCCATTTCCCGGTTACTTGAATTTTGCATTTTTACTTTTTCTTGTATTTCAGATAGTTTGTGCCGAAGACGCGATAGTTCATCCTGAATGCGAGCTTCTTCTGCTTCGTAGACCAAAATATCTTCTTTCTAATTTCAGAAGAATAATCATGAATAGTATTAAAGCCGATATATAAATGCAAAATAAGTGGTTTTACTTACTATTTTACATTCGTTAATTGCATCAGTCCAATATTCCTCAAAATTTTTCGCATAGCGTACCCGTTCTTGATTAACCTACAGTGAGAAAAGAATTTGTTAACAGTGTGTAATTTTTTATTTAGTGATAAAGGAAGGTACATAACCGATTCCTCCTCCAGAATCAGTAGACCTTTACCAACGACAAAGCTAGGGCGCCTGAGTAGAGAAATTGGGGGCTGGTTACCCAACGTGTCATACCCAGTAGTTCTCCTAGGCAATGCGTACTTCGACTAGAAGTTACCTTAACCTTGCAAAATAAAAAAATACACACCTTTCTACTTAAATCTTCACCAAGTTTTCCCGCACCTGTTATGAACTTATTTGACCAGGCGTTATCGAGATCCTTCCAACGGGAAGTAACCGGAATCATGACAATAATTTCATCCCGATAATGATGCAAAAAGTAGTAGAAAGATTTTTTTCCGCTTTGGTTCAAATATGTTGTAATAAGTTCAGACATGATAATAAAAAATAGTAAAAAAAATTTTTTTTTTTGTTAAGTGAGGTCTGATTAGCATAGTGGACACTGTTACAGATCACAAAAAAATGATCAACATAACATATGTTATGGTGAAAGTTCTTGCAAAAGTTTGATTATAAAAGTGTGAGATAATTTTGATCTTGCTGATGATCTGGACTTAGAGATGCTACAGCTATATTCTAGTGAAGTTTCAGAAGCAACTGGCTCTGTGTAACCGCCTGACTATTATACAAATGACTGTTGCACAAAATGAGTGTCCATTATGCTGGTCTGATTAGTTTATTTATGTTAAAAAATAGTAAAAAAAATATAAAAGAAGGAATTTCTTTTTTGGTTTGTCATGCCACGAGTTAGTCAATCAGATTTAGAATTTATAATAACAATTAGCAGGTCACACGATTACATCATGCATGAAAAGTTCCATGAGCTTCTAATTTATTCTGCGATATATGTTGATTAAACATCTGTGTTACTCGATCGATTTTATTACTAGACATATCGAGACATCATTTTTACATCATTTTTTTCTTGGCAAAAGTGATCACATAACTCGAGAATTTATTACTTTCAGACGAAATCTAACTGAGCATGGTGGAAGTTTGATTTTATTGGTTATGAAATGTGACAAAATAAAATTTATGTTTTTACCAAATTTAGAAAAGTTTAAGGAAAATCAAGATTTATATGGAACGTGTAACGTTGATCACAGCGAACAAAAAATTTAATGTATAAAAATACATATATATACACACACAAGAGTTTATCCAATAACTCATTTCGTGTTGCACGATTTTATCTCAATATAGTTTTGGATATAATGCGTATGTAGTAGTATGCTTCAAGTAGAGATAACTTATGCCGAAAAATTTTGGGTCACCAAGTCAAGTAAAAAAAGTGAGTATCAAAAAAGTAATACGTCAAGGTTATCAAAAAAGTAATACGTCAAGGTTATCAAAAGAATAATACGTCAAGGTTATCAAAAAAGTAATACGTCAAGGTTATCAAAAAAGTAATACGTCAAGGTTATCAAAAAAGTAATACGTCAAGGTTATCAAAATGTATACAAAAGGAATCAAATTTTTTAACATAGAGCAAGGAATACTCGAAGGCACTAACTATGCGAGAAAGAGTTCTAGGATCGAAAAATATAGCAATCTTTTGGTAATACGTCAAGGCAGAATATTATAAGGAAAAAGGTAAGATAAATTTGTGCTTTGACGTATTACCAAATAAGAGATAACAATTCGGCACTACGTACCTCATTATCGGATGCTTTGGTGTGTTACCAGATATGATAAAAATTCGGCACTACGTGCCTCATCCTTGATCGGTATTCGAATACATCACACAAAGCCAGGATACGAATACTATTTCGGCACTACGTGCCTCATCCTCGATTGATATTCGAATGCATTATAACAGTTAACAATTCGGCACTACGTGCCTCATCCTTAATCGATATTCGAATGCATCATACAAAGCCAGGATACGAACACTATTTCGGCACTATGTGCCTCAAACCTGGCATTCGAATGCGATATGCAAAGCCAGATCACGAGCTCTATTTCGACACTTCGTGCCTCAAACCCGGCATTCGAATTCAAGATACAAGGCCAAAATAAGCATTTTCCAAGAGTGCTACTTATAGATGACCGTCCACACGTGTGGACGATGGACACAAATGTTACATGTCGGAGTCTGGGCTTGAAAAAATCAGGCGCCTTCTTAAATATATACTCCGCTAATCAACCCGCAATCAATACTAGGGACATATTTTTTTTGCCCATGTGAGCCAATGACGGAAATTGGCCAGAATTACTAAACTGACATACATTATATCCACGTGGCCTGATACATAAAATGCGCCACCATGGTGCGTGTCGTAAAAAGCAGAATACACGTCACTCGAGTGCGGTCTAAAATGCAAAATGTACGTCATACTGGAGCATGTCTCAGCGGTTCTCAGATGGCAATACGAATGCAACCTATATAGCACCCAATATATAGACTATAAACGTCTCAGGTATGACGGGGGTAACGCAAAACACATGTCACTCGAATGTGTCGTAGAACGCAAAACGCACGTCACTCAAATGTGTCGTAGAACGCAAAACGCACGTCATATCTGAGACTATAATAGTCTAAACTAAGCCGTTTTTTGTTTATATAAACAAAAAACGGCTATATTAATTGTTATATCAAATATATTATTTATACTATAAAAATTATTCATTATGCGATAAATAATTCTTTTCTTCTAATATATGTTTAATGAACGGAAATAAATCAGCTGTGTAGGGAATCTCAATAAGATCTATACCTTCTCTTTTACATAATTTGCGCTTTTTCTGATCTCAATTTTTCTGGCTTATTAAATCTACTTCTCCATTTTTTCTATGGTATAAACTATTATGATTAAAGTGTTGGACTCCATCATATTCCCAAGCTAATTTCAATTCTTCATTATATCCATCTAAGTGTAAACCATCTAGAAATTTTGGCACACATGGTGTAAATTTTTTATCTAATTGTCACTCGAATGTGTCGTAGAACGCAAAACGCACGTCACTCAAATGTGTCGTAGAACGCAAAACGCACGTCATATCTGAGACTATAATAGTCTAAACTAAGCCGTTTTTTGTTTATATAAACAAAAAACGGCTATATTAATTGTTATATCAAATATATTATTTATACTATAAAAATTATTCATTATGCGATAAATAATTCTTTTCTTCTAATATATGTTTAATGAACGGAAATAAATCAGCTGTGTAGGGAATCTCAATAAGATCTATACCTTCTCTTTTACATAATTTGCGCTTTTTCTGATCTCAATTTTTCTGGCTTATTAAATCTACTTCTCCATTTTTTCTATGGTATAAACTATTATGATTAAAGTGTTGGACTCCATCATATTCCCAAGCTAATTTCAATTCTTCATTATATCCATCTAAGTGTAAACCATCTAGAAATTTTGGCACACATGGTGTAAATTTTTTATCTAATAAATCCTCAAAAATATATCGACATCTATGTTCTTCTTTGAAATGAGGACAAATAGGACACCATTCAAATTTCTTAGCAATTAATGGATATGGATATTCGAATTAGGGATGGGAACGGTTCAACCCAAACCTTTATTTTTGGAAAAGGCATTAACAAATGGTGATTTTTTACAAGAATCAATAATAAATGTTTCTTGTACTATTGATTCAGGAGAGGAAAATTTATTTGTATGTGCCCTTATTTTGCTATGTATGTTTTCAACAAAATAATCATTAAAATTTACTAATGATTTTTCTAACAATTTTGCAAATGGATGATTATTTTGCTTCCAATAAAAATAATCAGATAAAAAAGCAAGAGGAATTTTGTTAAAAAAAATGTCCAGATGCGAAAAATTGTTTCAAGGTATTGTTCAAAAGCTCCAGATCAAAAAAGAATTGTGTATATATCCAGGTAGCTGGTATAATATTATCTAATATATCAATCACCATTCTATATTCCACATCTTTTGTTTTATTAAATTTTTCTAATATATCTTTTGAAATTTCCATCCATCCATCATGA